ATCAATCAGTTTTGTCTACATCAGTTTCCCCCCTTATAACATGCATGTATATACTTTGCCTCAGTCAGTTATTTTTTCCTCTATATGAAGTAAAAGTATGCCTCGGTCGCGTATTTTCACCTTATACTTCTTTAAGGTTAAGTGCCAATGCGAGTTTGTATTGCTCTACGAAGACTCCATTTGTTTGTGTAGGTTTATGTACTGAATCTTTGAGTCACGTGAGACCAATTCAGAGAATTCTTAAATCTTCCAGCGGGCTTGATCTGGAGAGAGTACATCTACTGTTGACGTTTGGGAGCAGAGCATTCAATTTCAGTACGACTTGTCAGTTCTTCCGGTTTGCTGGCCTTATACAAAGCTCTACAATTTATCAGATCTTTCGATCCAACATAGCTCTTGACCTCTACATCCTGTCAATTAAATGAAGAATTCCCACACATGCTGCTGTGAAGAGCTCGGCTGTGCCTCTGAAAGCTTTCTGCTTGAAGGAGTCTTGTGCAAAGGGAAAATTCAAAACCAGCAAAATGGGGGCCTCCACGAAGCAAAATTGCGAAGGCTTTGCTTAGCACGAGAGACAGGTGATCCTTCAACACAGACTCGCGAAATTTTGACAGCTTGTCCTAGCCAGAGTACTGTGATCAACAGCGTAAGTGGCATGTAACTCATCATCGCCCGATCTTCAGCAGTTGAATTGATGATATTGTCAACTTCAGGGACGCCGAAGGTCTCTGAGTACCGGCGACTTAGGATCCATCAATGTGCAGAGCTTCTTCCGTGGTCGAAATCGGGAAGCTTCGCCAATAGCTTCAGACTTGCCTGCCATGCACAGACGCCGTAGCAGCTCGCAAACAATCAGAGGAACAAACAATCCGCCAACCCCCGATGATCAAAATATCTTTGTTACTATGTCGACGGCGCCCTACAAGATGCCGGAGGTCTATCTTCAGCGACCATCATGTCTAATTGGGATGCTGCAAGTTGCAAATGGAAGTATCCTTAAAGGAGTCAAACACAGAACAAGCCAAACTTCACTCCGCATGAACAAGCTACAGATTGAACAAACCGCAAAAGACATCAATTATACCGGTCGTCCTTACTGGGAGAACTTACCCACGAGTCTGCCTACTTTATACACGATGCTAAATCTTGAGGTCAAGCTGGAGTCTCAGATTGTGTGTCTGGAATGTTTTACGCTACACGGCACTCCGTATGAAAAAATTGACAATACTTACAAGATGAAGTGTGATGCAATGCGGTTCTTACGACAGCCTGATGCCAAAAGGGGCGACCCGGTTAAATGTCATGCATGCGGAGGAAATCTCTATTCAGGTGATGACCTGAAGCCGTGCCGGCAATTTCATTATCACTCCCTCAAAATATGGCTAGCAAGAATGTTGAGTATACCGGGGTTCGAAGCTGCTCTGGACGCTCCCTTTCAACATCATTACGACGGCTCCACAATGCGCAACATATGGGATGGCAAAATGTGGAGAACCTTCATGCACTCTGGGAGACCATTCACTTCAAAAACCGGTAATCTGGTGTTTGGATTGTTTGTTGATTGGTTTAATCCCCATGGCCGAGGGGCTCGAAGAGCAAAATCTCACGGGATAGTGTTGCTCATGTGCTTTAATCTACCGCCCGATGAACAATACAAGCAAGAAAATCTATTTCTTTTTGGAATAATCCCCGGACCTAACAAACCGGCTCGTGAACAAATGAACGAACTTCTGAAGCCACTAGTGGCTGAATTCCAAGACTTTTGGAAAGGAATCTTCTTTACTTTGACCTCAGCACATTCTGAAGGTTGTGTCATCCGCGCAGCACTATGGCCAGTGATAGCAGACCTCCCAGCAATGCGAAAGGTTACTGGTTTTGGTTCGCATTCAGCAACACACTTCTGTGCACACTGCGGAATTACATTATCAGATCGACAAATCATTGACCCAGATGAATGGCCCGAAAGACTCGATCAGCAAAAATATGCTGAAGAATGGAGAGATGCATCCACAGAAAAACAACAACAGGAAATCTTTGACGCTTACGGACTTCGATACACTGTGTTATCTGAACTACCATATTGGAGACCTATCGAATTTGTCACCGTTGACGTTATGCATTGCTTGCTTCTTGGCACACTGAAGGATCATGCGTTAGGATTCCTAGCACTCAAAGAAGCTGGCAAAAAGCTTAAAGCAAAGCTTGACAAAGAGGCTCATTTAAATATACGTAACCCAATTGTTACGCAGTGTTCTATCTCCAAGAATGTACGCATCTATGTTTCATACGTCAATTGTATGCTATTAGAATGAGTCAAGACTGATCACATCTTTCCTGCTCCTGTCTTAGTCCGGAACTTCCAACGTCTCTGCTTCCGAAACTGACAGTTCGGAGGTTCAACATCAGACTAGCTCAAATAGAAATGATTCTACCGAGAGTGATAGCATGGATGTAGATGAAGCCAGTGAAAAAACTGAAAGTATCTCCATGGACTGGTCCAGAGAATCCGACATCGACAAATCTGCAAATTTCACTTCTCCATCTTCCGGTCATGGATCCCAGTCTGCCAATAAACCCAGGAAACGTGGAAGACCCCGTGGGGTCCAGGTTCAAAACCACAAGGGAAAAAGCGCCAAAACGTCTACACCTCTCAGTAATCCTGACGCTTTGGCAACATCTTGGGCACCCGATTTACAGCTCTCTAATTCACTTCTGTCGCAAAACTTCTCCGAATTTGGGTCGCCCAGCGAGTCTATCCCCGTGTCATCCTCTGAAGAGCCGAATTCACAACGCACCAATCTACGGCGCTCCAATCGGATCCGGTCACAAAGCGTATCAAGGACCGTAAGCTCAAGTGTCATAGGATTGCCGATAAACTTGCAAACAAACAAAAGTAGAGGCCGGGATCGAAGCAACACTAACACCACAGTTTGTGGACGTGCCACAGCCTCGAAAGGCAAAGGTAAAAATCTTCCAAAGCCAAAAACCAATGAAACTGTGCCTGAAACTTCCAATCCATCACTCACAATGGATGATCTCATTGACATACGACACGCTATTCTAACCGCAAAAACACCAAGTTGGATGTCGCGACCTCCGCTCAAAATTGGAATTCCAAAGTCTGGAAATCCCAGTGCGATGGAATGGCTCTCATTTTACACAGTTTACATAGTCCTTGTCATTATTCCTAAGCTCTACGTCTCACAAGATGCAAAAGACCAAGCTGTATGCCAGAGTTTGATCTACCTGGTGGAAATCACAAATAGTGCTCTTTCTCGAACCTTGAGCAAAGAAGATACGGAGGAGCTTGCAAGATCAGTACATGGTTATCGCGAGCATCTGGCTAAATTTTGGAAGGGCATAAGTGTCAAGTCAAACTTGCACTTTTTGCAGCATCTAGTTGATATCACGGAGCTTTTTGGCCCACATTCTTACACTGCAACAATGGCTGGTGAGCGCGCAATTGGAATTCTTGTGAGAATTTTGAAGAACCATCACACAGGTGCGTTTCTGATTATACTGCCACAATTGGATATCTTGATTTTGATGTCGCATTACTGGTTCCGCATTGATTACCTTAGCGGACATTGATAAAACAATGTCAGAGACCTACGCTAGGCGAGGAATTTTCAAGGCTGTCTTGAAAGGCTGTCCAACCTTCCTACGCCGAGTTGATGCGAAAATCAGAGACGAGATCATTCAAAGCCTCACAGGGACTCCAACAACCAAATGGTCTGCGGAGAGGGCTCTTGACCTTGAAATATATCGTGCATGGCTCAGTTATCTGAATTCAGAGTTGAATAATTGGTATGGCCAATTCTCTGAAACTAGTGGTGTTCCGAGTGGCAGTCCTATTCTTCCTGGAATGGTTGAGACCAACAGAATTCTTAAAGTTTTTGGTAAGAACTACACTTCATATCAGTTTACTAAAGGTCGGGGCAATAGTGCAATCAAATACCTCCTTCAAGGCAAACATCGTTTTGGTTACATTCAATATGCCTTTCGTACAAAGCTAATCCCAACAGTCTTTTTGGTGGTGGACCAGTTTAGCAAATTGAATGAAACCGACTCAGCACGCGATTGCTTCCTCTCTCACCCCCGGCTACAGGCTGCAAGGGTATACTCAAAGATTGAACGCTCTGTAGTGGTTGATGTACACGATCTTATGGGTCATATTATTGTGATGCCTCATCCGCCCGGCCACCTTGGGATTGGGCAGGAGACACTGGGTATTGTGGGGCTGCGGAATATTGTAAGTTTTTTAACATTTGGAAAATGATTGGCTCTGGATGATCGACCTGATCACTATTTGGCAGAGTTCATTCAATGCAGTTACCGCGTCGGAATGATGAAGGATTCAGCAGCTGTACAATTATGGTCTTTCTCGGAAATTAAAGATGTCGTATAATTTATCTGTCAATTGCTATGTGCTTGACTTGTAGAGTCTGAAAAGGTAGTCATAGCGATAGTCATTGTAGTGGTATAGTGTCAAAGGAATTAAACCTCGATATCAACCACGTAAACCTTCATGATTCAATTGTAGTTCTCAAAATTCCCATTGATTTTTCATTTGTTTTATAAATTTGTTCCAAAGTTATACCTAATCTACATCTAAGTAAATAAATTGGATCCATTCAATGCAATTACCACGTCAGAATAATGAAGAATTGAGAAATCATCTAGTAAAGGCTTGACTAATGAGAATTAGGATTTGCATCATGAGCGTTGTAACCTCATGAAGACGAAACAAGTGAAGCACGTATTTTGGATATCAACAAAGCAAGCATTGGGCTGGCAGGCTTTTGAGTCAGCAACTGTTTCTGGCTTTCCCCGAAAGCCTCCTTCCAAGTAGGTTTGTAACAATTTAATGGAAGGTTTCAGGGAGCTTTACCGTGACATGAGATCTGAGTTGCGGGAGATCTGCGCATTTCAAGCCGCCTGGCCCCCCACCTAGCCCCGTGCAATGCCTTTTGTTGTTGAAATGAAAGCTCATCAAGGACATGCAGGAGGTCGGCAAATTCCTGGCTCCTCCAAACCATGCCTATGGCGCGTGTTCTCCCAGGTCCGTCGTCCTCAGTATCAGAGCAACAGTCAGCGCTTGGAAGTAAGCTCAGTGCGGTGGAGAGAAGCTCTCTATCTTCTGCTTTGCAAAACTCGTCTAAAGCATCCACGCGGTAACGAAAAAGCTTAAAGGATATGTCAGTGTTTGTGTACAAGACAGGAATCTGTTAGGAGTGGTCACCTACTGCAGCTCGTCTCTGGCTCTTCTTCTTTTGGTTACGATATTTTTCATCTTCTTTAACTCTTCCATGCATCCATCTCTCCATGACAGCTCGACAAATTGCATCGGTGGAATATTTGGTATCGACAGAATACCGATTGAATGCACCGCGTGCATTTGCCCATCGCCAGTGCTTCATCAAGAACACAAGCATCGTCTTGTTCCAAGAAGATGTCGCAGGAGACTCCCAAGCTAGGGTGGCACGAGGTATACGATACCAAGCGAGATCGTTGAGAAAAACCCTCCTGTACGTGAACCAACAGGGGTCTTGCCGGGGTAAGAGGTTTTCTGTTTGATCCGAAAGCGTAGGCGGCGGAAGAGTTCCACAAAAAACACTCTGATCGGCTAGAATGGTTTCTAAAGAGACTTGTGGGAGCAAACGGAGCTCAGATGGATCTGGACTGGCAGGATAGAGTGCGCGAGGGCCGATAGCTCCAAGCATAAATTTCAGGTAGTCGACCATAGCCTGATAAGAGCTCGAGTTGCGTGCAGGTAACCACTTAGCCACTTCTCTGTTTTGCGCTTTCAATGATTTGACTCCGAGCCCGTTTGCAAAGTACATCGGTTGATCGAGTAAAGCTTGTGCCACAATCAAAGAGAGATGATGAGCAGGATGCGCAGAAGTAGGCATGTGTTAATGAAGCATTGTCATCAACTCACGTTCGGAAGAGAGCATTATTTTTGTGCTTTTGGATGATGAGATGATCAGGAAATTTTGAAAGACCCTCTCCAGGAAAGTCAGAGTGACCAAAGGCTACTGTTGAGAGAGAAAAAAGTTCAAGAGGTCTTCTCCAGCGAAATAAGAGACCTTCTCCAGCAAAATAAGAGACCTTCTCCGGGAAAGTCAGAGTGACCAAAGGCTACTTTTGAGAGAAAAAAAATGTTCAAGAGGTCTTCTCCAGGAAAACAAATAGGTTGGTAAGTATGGTAGCAGTTAACCTGATTAAGAGGCCTTCTTCAGGAGGGAAGACTACACCACAAAACGAGAAGCTGTTAGAGGAACAATAGAACTTTTTTGGAGAGCAACCCCGAAGTCAAACTGTAAAGTAGATCGAAAGTCAATTTCTTACGATCAACGGGTGAAATGTTAAAAGGGAATTGTGAGGCTTCATCAATACACAGAAAACACGATCGAAGGCAGGGGGTGAACAAACAGGCATACCGTTTTGTCAGATGAGAGAATTAAATGGAAGCGCATTGTTTTCTGAAGGCAGATACCAGCGTCGGAGCACCCCTTGTCAGCTCTCATCACCATCTTTCTGATGATCAAAGGCCCAGACAATCGTCTCAAAGAGCAAAGGTCCGATGATTATCATTGACTGTGCTCGTCAAGAGGATGTGAGTTTTCCTTTTGTGAGAGTACAGCCCTTATATCTCTACATACATACTTGCTACACTGTTGACCAATCTCAACGTCAACTCTTTTTCAATTTCATCGTCAACCTTGTCTTTTCCTTCATCTTCAAGATTGCATGTCCGGCACATAGCACATTCTCCTACATTCTCTTTTTCACCTCTGACCGTTGTTTATACCTCAACATTAACATTTCTGCTGCCCCTCCGTCATCCGCAATTCCACAGCCCCACTAGGATCCACTTCTCTCACTTCCATGAATCATAGTCAGTCATTTCGACATCAGTTGCAAATCCATAATGTCTTCAGTCTTCTGATCTCCTGTCAAACACGTGGCTGTTTCTAGGTCACAGCAATCCAAGCGATTCCGCGTTTGAAACGCAGATGATTCCGACGTTGATAACTGGTCAGTGTCCGTTCACAAACTTTTTGTATACGCGCTTGGTCTGATCTTGAATTGGTACTCAGGTCCAGGTCAACTCGTGGAATCTCCCATCAGTTATACCTCAAAAGGTTCATCTATATCATGTTCGATTTTTGTGTTGTATCCGATTTTTTGGTAACTCACTAACTGGAACTTCCGACTTTGATTTTACACAGGTCACGGTAACGAACATGAGACACTTTCGGACCTCTTTGAAGACCTTGAACAAATGGTCACTTCACCTCGACATCTCGCCAACGAAGGCCCTTTAGGGTCAGAGTCGCAACTTGACTCTGTCTATAACCCCTCCCTCGTCACGCCGGGAGCTCCGACTCTTCCAAGCGCACGATATTCAATCGCCAAGCTACCTTACCATCTATCCAAAGATCATCACTCGGCCGTTTTTTCCTTGTCGGTCCCTTACTACGACAGCCCCCGCCTGGGGTCCAATATCGTTCCTTGAAAGTGTTCTCATTCACCAGACGGCGATGAGGAAAAACAGCACAAGCGTCAGCGTCAACCATCCAACGGCACAAACGGCCAACAGTCGTCTCAACCTGGCCCTTCAATGTCACTCCTTGCCAGACCAATTGTTCCTCGAAAACGCCTGCCCTTATCGCACGAGATCGACGGGACCGACCGTAAGCGTTCTCGTACGCCGTCGTCTTACTTCAGCAACCAAACCTCTTCCAAGATTTTCTCTCCACAACCCCTTCGACCACTTATCTCCTCCATCTCGCCCAATAATTCTCCATCACTGCCGCAAATCTTGATGCAACATGACACTCGCGTTGATCCAGTTGGACGATTTGAACCCGCATACAATGAGGCTTGAATTGATCCTCGACTTGAAATGAAGACCAATGATACCATCTCCGCCAATCTTGCGCATGAGCAAGCTCAAAATTCTTCGTTTGGAAAGTTGCACTCATCAGATAACTACTTTGAGGATCAGGCTAGAGTTTCTGATGCAACCCACACTACCTCCAGCACGCCATCACCCAATGTACCGGTCAACACAACACCTGAACACACTAGTCATACATCCCATTCATCAAGTGCGGACTCTCAAGAATCGACACAAGGAAACCAACATTCCACCCATGGCGCGTCACCCAAACAATTTACACCCAATCCCCCTCTCAAGTATGCTAACAAAGCCTTCAAGACATCACATCGATATTCTCATGGCTTAATAAACAGCAATAACGGACCTCCTCCTCACAGGCAAGATAGTAATCAAACTTTGTCCAGCCTTGTTCATGATGCGAGCATCTGTAATCACCTTCAACGATCTGAGTCTCACTTCGACGGGTCTCCTTCAGCTGGTGCGTGGCCAAATCAGATTCTGTCACCAGAGTCTCAATTGATCAGAAGTAGCCACAAATCTTCGCCATCAAACCAAGAACATGTCGAAATGTCTTTGAACACTGCTCATGATAAAAATCAATCAAGTCCTGGTGAAAGCGGCCAATCCTCGATCAATTATCTACCTGTACCTGGCTTATATTCTTCAGAAAGTCGGCGAAACTCACCAAGTCCATGTCCAAGCCGCCAATCCTCAAGGATGTCCTCATGTTCAGCAAATGATTTTCAACATAATCCTCGACGTGCAGCCACATCTAATTATGAACATCCGCCACTTGCAATACCCTCTCGGTCTTCGTGTAAGCTTTCTAATTTCTGAGGCAGGGTGATTATTTTTTACTGATGATACGTAGGTTTGTTCCTCAGCCAATCATTTAAGACCACCGCAGGCCCAGAGCAACATCTCTCAGCAATATCAATTCCATTCCGCAAGTTTGACATCACACTCTCAACCACGGCCCCCCTCAAGGACGTCTGTCTATTCTTCTGAGAGTCAGAAAAATCAACCAAGTCTTGAAAGCGGCCAAACCTCAATCTATCATCGACCCGCACCTATCCTATATGCTTCTGAAAGTCAGCGAAACTCACCAAGTCCCTGTCCAAGCCGCCGATCATCAAGGATGTCCTCATGTTCAGCAAATGATTTTCAACGTAATCCTCGACATGCAGCCACATCTAATTATGAACATCCGCCACTTGCGATACCCTCTTGGTCTTTGTGTAAGCTCTCTAATTTCTGAGGCAGGGTGATTATCTTTTACTGATGACACGTAGTTGTGTTCCTCAGCCAATCATTTACAACAATCCAATAATAGACCAGATCTACGTGAAATTGGCCTCGATGGCCGTCAGGACACGGGAAACCAGCGTTGTGGAGATTCTCAAATATATAGTCACGTTCAAAATACAACTCGAGATCACCACAGCTCAACGCAGGCTTTTGCATCTAATTCGGCACCTTTGTTTTCTAATCAATTTGACGATCCCTCACTTGCATATCCTCAAGACTCCACAAGGCAAAATATCGGACCTCCTCCTTTAAATGGAGACCATCCGCTCAGTTGCTACAGTGCTGTTCCTAATTCGAGCCCGTCTGGCTACTTTCGACCGCATGCATCACAGTCTAATCATCTTCCTGCTTTGAACGTACAACAAGAATTTATATCACGTCCAAAAGGCATTCCAAAGCATCAAGAGTGTCATGTGAGTCTCAATCAAATCCAGCCCGGTCTTCCGCGAGGCAATCAAGTCTATGACGACGCCCGACATTACGCTCAGACCACCCATAGCCGCATTCACCATGATGAGCGAGCTCAAAATTATACTCCAACCTACCATTCCCATTTACCCCAGCCACTCAGCGAGGATCAAACTAGAGATCATACTTCGCAGTTACCCAATCCTCCAAACGCGCATGCCTTTGTCCATGCCCCCCCTCCAGCACCTCAAAATGCCAATGTGAATTCGTGGGATGGATTTCAATTTGAGTTCGGGGGGAATCCCGTTTCTAACTTCATTACACCTTTGGCAAATCCAGTACCCCCTCAATTTTTTAACGTACCTTCTATTGATGAACCATCAAGACCATCTCAGACCCAGAGCCAAATGATTTGCCCAGCTTTCCAACAACACCAACCCCAGCCAACAGTAGCGACATCGGGTTCTCATGTTCGCCCATCATCCAGGATGTCTATATGCTCCGCTGGATACCAGCAAAGCCAAGGAGGCACGCCATCTCAAAACAGCCGCGCCTCAGGGACATCCTCTTCAGCTAACCACCCACCAGCCAACCATTGAGCCACAATTGAAGCTGCATCTAGTCGTCAATATCCCATGACAATGGCGTCCGCTACAACGTCTGTGGCTGATATGCGTAAGTTTGCGAATCTCTGACATGGGGTGAACATTCTTAACTGATGTCATTGACTTGACTCTCATCTCTCAGCCAGAGTTCGACATCCACGCAATCAGACAGCAGATGTCGATTTGACAAGAGAAGAAGAGGCAATGAATCAACAAGAGGCCATGAGCGAAGACGAGCCTATGGACGAAGACGAGTCTATGAACGAAGACGAGGTGATGGAGATCGACGAGGAAGACCAGGAGGATGAGGCAGAGAAGGATGACGAGGCAGATGACGATGAACAAGACCAAGATACGGATGTATCCGACGTTGATGGTGATTTTGATTTGGCTGAAAGCCGCAAGTATCAGAACCGCCAATCTGCACGCCGAGCTCAAAAGACCCTTGCCAGGCACGACGCGGTCCGTTTTGAGAAGCTTGCTAAGACACCTTTAGAGTGCACTCAGTACAAAAGACTCACAATTGCAATCCATAACTACAATAACCTGCTCCTTGGGATCGTTCGGAAAGGTAAAGGCCGCAAGGGCAATCGATTGCTTCCCGCGCCCCCATCTGACAAGGAATATTCTACTTGGGACCAACGGAAAGCAGACCGTTGGCGCATTGTTGATAGAAGCATGAAAGAAGCTTGCCGTCACTACCTTTTCAAACATCCACGCGCCCAGAATGCCCAGCTTGCCAAAGTTGCTGACCACGCGGCTGAGGTAGCTATCTCGGCAATTCCACCTGTTAAATTTAGCTCTCTAGTCGCCCTGAGGAACTCGGGTGTTCGTTATTCAACAACAGTTGCTTCCACTTGTGAAGCAACATTGGCTCTTTCGGGGTTTGTGCGATTTACCTACAATTGGACCGACTCTATCAAGTCCAAATGGAACGAAGCAGTTGCTGCACTCATTACCCAAGAGTGGGAAAAGTGCTACAAGAGGGGTGATGCCGACGATTATGACGTTGATATCAATCAGGTCACATCAAAAAATATGCGACAAGTTCTTGACCGGTGGTTCACTACCAAGGCACGCGAATATGCGAACCAGTGCCGTAAGAAGGACGAGGATAACGGGAAGCAAGCTCAAGAACAGGAGGCACGCAAAGAAAAAAATCGCCGGAGGGATTCACAAAAGCGGGTCAGTCATCTTCATTGAATTACTTGTCTTCTTTTGTCAGTAGGCTGATTCAACGTCTATTCTGGATGGTTTCTCTAGGTTTGTCAGCTTTGAAAAAATGCTCTCAAGACTTTTTACCCGGAAAACAAGGCCCTCCGTGAGATCTTGTCGGAGAGATCAGTTCATTCTGAAGATGAAGTTGATACCGCTGGTAAGCCATATCGAAAACGAAGGCTTTGGAGGCATCAGGACCTTGACACATTCCTCCATCAATTGGACGAGCTGCACATCAAAGAGCAGCAAAGCGACCAGACTCAGACTTCAGCCGCCAAAGCTCTCAACCGTGGACCTTACGCTGCTCTAGAGAACACGGATTACCTTTCAAGTCCTCCCAAGGGATTTCCAAACAGTTTGCTTGACCAGCGGTTCATGAAGCAACACGTCTCAAGAGTGGCCGTCTTGGGTCTTCAACTGTCTGCCGAAGAGTATGATTTATCCCCGTTGCTTGCCCGCGCTGCATGGCTTCAGCTACCAGAAACCTCTTGATTTTTTCTTTAACATTCAACCTTCATACTCTCATAAGTATATATCATATACCGCAAAGAAAAGGAAAACAAACTGTTTGAGTACTATTTTTTTCAATAATTGAATTTGAGATCATCTGATCAATTGGTTTACTTTCAACTGATACATACAATCTTTTTAATGATTCTTTCTGCTGTATATCCTTCTACTCCTTTTGATCTTAACTTGATTTCAGTTTTGTCCATCCGGGGTTTTTCTTCTTTTTCTAATTCTGGCTACATTTTTTTGTTACTATCTATAGAAATGACTTTTTTTCTTCAAATTTTCCATAATCAATTGACTCTTAGTTACTTTCTCAATTTGTTTCGATTCCAAATTCTTTCCATGTGGTTCAATCCAATCTTCATCAAACTCACTCTCATCCTCTAGATTTGTTTTATGTTAATCTTCCTAAAATTGTTTACGTACTACTACTAGAAATCATTTGATACAATCTTCTTGTTAGAAGTCTCCAAATTTTGGTCAACAGGAAAACTACATTAAGAACAATGCCAGCATGCAGAACTAAATCGTTCTACCATTTGGACGATCTGATGCAGTTATTGGCAAACAGGAATTTGGACTACAAGTTCCTTGCTAGCCTTGGACCACGCGCCAATCAAACATGAACAGACATCCATCCATGTCTGTCCTGGGACAGCAAAGATATCATTTCCGTCATCAACTCGACAATGATTAACATTAATCATTGGTGTTCAGTACTTCTTTTCAATAAAATAAAACTCCTAGACTCCTTAAGCCATTGTATCATTCTTAGTTAAACCCATATGCAGAGTTACTTAATTCAAACTTCGGATTACAATTGTGATTTGCACAATCCGAAATCAACCTTTGTTATGCCCATGATCAACATGCCATTCTACTAGGACCGAGTTTGTTATACATATGTCAAATTGATACTGGAGTGTGCTGTGCCATGTACACAGATATACGCGCGCACTTAAAATAGTATCACATACGTTAGCTGTTGAAATTCTGTACCGTTGAGATGAGTGTTGGTTTGCCAGAGGTTTTAAAATTTAGATCCGTACCGTTGAGAATAGTCCCAGTGTTTGATCAAAACAAAACAGATTTATCAAAGGAGAAGTTTTCAGAACACGAATTTTAAAGAACTCTACGATTTATTTACCTCAATGTCAAACTCCAAGACAATAGCAATACCAACTCAAGCTGCCCGCGGAAATACCAGATTCAAAACCGCTGCCACTGTTCCTTTGAGATTTACTTGGGCCACCGTCAAATCGTCAACTGTTCGCTTTAGACTCACTCTAACATGCTTAACCCTGGCTCCATCCATTTTAAATTCATTCTGGACATGTTCACCATTGTACTTCAAGACTTCTTTCATCGCCAGAATGTGTATAGGTTCATGAATCGGTAAGCTTGCATCTCCGATAAGATGATCCTTTCTGATGTATTGTCTTGCCTTGTTGGAGGAGCCTGTGAGGTACTTATACTGGCCTTTCCAACTCTGCTTTCCCAACCAGAACATCCCAACTTGCTTTTAGCTTTTCACTTACCTCCTGTCAATATCATGAAGCTTATCAGAATCAAATCAAGTCTCTCTTATTTCAAGAAGTGTGCTACCAAAGCCAAAACGTGGCTTGGTCAGTGAACTCAGTATCTTCCCTATCTCATTTTCACTATTTGCTTATCATCCGTTCCTATTTTTATACTTTACAGCCGTGGCAGCCAACAAATTTCACCGATCTAGAGATGGGTTTGACCCATCTGTCTCAATCGGCCTTTCATCAACGTCACCTCCCCACACTTCCAGTTTTTCGTCGGCCACTAGCTTTGCCCACCCCTCAACTCCGATCACCTACATCAGCATTGATACCTCCTCCCTGGTCACCCCGACTTACCTTCCTTTTTCCAGTGTCTATGGTCTACCCGTGACTTCACACACGTCTCTTCCTCTGTTGGCCCCTACCTCCGGCCCACCTTCGACTCCAATCAGTCCCACAAGCGTTGAATCCAGTCCGCCTTCAACTCAATTCAGTCCCATGAGCATTTACTCCGGCCCTCTTGTGACTCCCACATTCCGTGGGTACTATAACCATTTTAACGAGGATTCTCCCCCTCTTTCAACTCCCGCCCGCTTCACAACAATTGAAAGCTCTCAGGTCTCAACAGATGTGACACCCCAGGACGCCTCCGGAGAACAGAATTGGATTCAGCTAGCCCGAGAAATACATCGTCGTTCGCCTACGCCTTCCTGTCCAAGGCAGGCACTCCCAGCGCACGAGTCTAGCCCGCCTACGCAACAAATTGTCATACAGCTTGCCCCCCGAGCACCTTGACCTTACGCTCATTGTCATACCATGCAGTGTTCAACTTCTGATCAGCTTTACCTTATCTCCCCATCTGCTTCGACTTCCACCTGCTCGACAACTATCACAAGCTCGGAGGTGTCAAGTGAAATCACCCCAGAGATCACCCCCCGAACACCTCAACCTTACGCTCACTGCGCTTCAAACCAGTCTCCTCAGTTAACCAGGAAACGTTGCTTCTCGGTGATTATGGACGATGACGACAGCGGTACGCATATAACACTTTAGTTCTGCCTCAGATCACCTCTTCTGATCTTTTTCTATTTATAGTACCACCTTACAAGCGTAACAGGTTGGCGTTGCCCGGTCCTGTCACTTTGGACAATTCTTGTCAAACTTTGGTGCTCAGCGCCAGGAAACGGCGCTTTGCAATCTCTATGGATGATGAGGACACTGGTACAAATATTTCAAAAGGCCGATATCAATTTAGCTGAGACCCCATTCTAAACGTTCAATTCTTATAGAACACCCTCATAAGCGGTACAAGTTCGGTTCGTCAGCTTGTATTTTCTTGGCAGATGGCTTTCCTCCTCCTTACACGTCCAGAGATCGCAATGGCTGGTTCCTTAATGAACACAAAGGTCAAATATTCTGGGCTGCCTATCCATCAAGCGCGCCCTTCACATTGATTGTAAATGACTCAAACACATAATGAAGTAGAATGGTCTGGCATTGTATGATGCTCGGTTTTCAGATTGCTTACTTTTTTCGCTTGTTTGTAGTCCTGGTTAACTTTTCCTCTCTTTCTTGTATATACTTCTCACCTTCATACACGTTTTAAGTTCCTATTTTTATACATGTTTTAAGTTTCCTATCTTTATACACGTTTCAAACCTCCTATCTTCATACATGATGTCAAATATATAACAACAAGGATCTCGGAAGATTAGTGGCTATAGCCAAAACTCGATAAGCTCGCAGGCTTTTGATACAAGGCACTTGAAGCCTCCGGAGTCCGAACAACTCCTTCGGACTTTTTTCAAAGGCAAAGAAAGGGTTTGTAGACATCAACAACAATGGGGAGTCAATAGCTCGGGACCCATATGAAATGAAAGTTCGGAGGCTTTCCAGTTGAGGAAGCCTCCAAACCAATCCTTTTGCCTTTTTGCCAAGGTAAAGAAAGGCGACGAAGACATACAACTTGTACAGTCATTCGTGAGCAGCTCAGGGTGCATACATGCTGCGCGCTTTGAGAATCCTTAGGATCATGAGATACAAAGGTTTCACCCGCCTTATTTCGCTCAATATCATCTGCTCAGGGCGGGCGTGTTTTTGTGGAAAACACAAAAAATACACACATGTGGCGGAGTTTTAAGCTCGCCGGACGTCCGGCGCAATTTGGGTGGACACTGTGATAGGAGAAAGATGATATTGATAACCTTGATTTTGCAACCATCGAACCTAGAGATGCACATGTGCAAAGAGAAGAAGCAAATGTATGGAAGTCAGCTGAAACCTGGGAACAAGGGAAGATAATATTCAAACGCTCTGGAATGTGATATTCAGTTCTGTTGGAATTGCCATACCTTGACCCAATCCGACATGTGGTGGTTGAACCCATGCACAATGTTTTTCTTGGCATGCTTGAGTTTCATGGTCAAAGCTTGTTTGATTTCAAGTCCCCATCTGATGATACGAAGATTATTCACAAGGGCAGGACTCAACAAGACCATACCCACAACTCCAGCACTAGTCCACCGGTCACTCCGCCATCCAGTCCACAGGCTGAAGGTGAACTAGAAGACTCTGAAGATGAGTGGAACACTGAGATGCAAGATTTGGACATAGATCAAATAAGCCCCAAGGTCTTCACTTCAAGTAATTCTTCTACTAGCCTAGAGACTAGCCAGAAAAGAACTTACACCAAATGGAACAAAGATTATGTCTGGTCAGCACCGGAAGACAAAGAGGACCTTGATTACATACCAGATATTCATGAAAATCAATCTTCTTATTCTGAAAGCGATATCTCTGAAGGCTATACAAGTGAAGATTTCGACAAAGCCGACCCTCTTAGAGCTATTTTCCTAAAAGAAGAGAATTTAAACATGCTCCGTAATGCCACAGAAGAGTTTTTTTTGCCGTCTTGGATTGGGAGGGTTCCCAAAACTGTAGGGTCAAAAACTGGGGGAAAGTTGAAAGCTGATGAATGGGTGGTTCTCTTCAATGTAATCTTGTTACCGGTGTAGAACTTATAACCCAACAAGGGTTATACAGAGCTGGAAGAGGATAATCTACTAATATAATGACTAGTCGAAGTTGTCTGAGACTGCTCTTCTAAAACAACACAATCAGGAAAAGGCTCTGTTGTATTGAGTACAGATAAGGCACCAGAAAAAAATATCTTTCACACGTAATTCAACTTCAAAAGCACAATTTTTATTACTATCAACACTGCTATAGTATTATTCCCAAATGATAACTGAAGAAAATAAGCAATATCTTAATGATATTATTCCCAATGAGTCTTTTTGACTATAATACTAAAGTAAATTTCTCTTTATAGCTATAATAAAGGGTGTATGTAAGTGACCAGGTACTATTAGAATAAGTTTATAATGATAAAAAAAATAATAACTGCGTAAATGATAAAGAAAAAAGGGGAAGAACAGTCCCAATAGTACTATAGTACTATCATAGTACTATCATAGTACTATCATAGTACTATATTTGCAGCTTTGAAGCCATGCACATATGCTGGCACTGTACACCAATGATCTGTGTTGCTGGCCCAGGGTTCTACAGTATAGCACAATTTGCAACAGGCGCGGCCTCAATGGTCTTAGTGTTTGTTCCTCCACAACATCCATCATTCTTTTGCTCAAATTTTCAGTCATGTGTGATTTGTATGTTTCACCTGCATCTCAGTTATCCATGTACATTATACAAATTGAGGGCAAACCATGTTTGCAGGCAGAACTTGATTAACTCCCAACTTGAAGTTTGGCAAGTTGTTCTGAAGTATATGCTCAAAACTTTTACATTCATTTCATTTCACTTGCATTTTTGTGATACAAAAAAACAAAATCATTCCAAGTAACACCTCATCCTGCAAAACAGTCATATTTTCAAATCAATAAAATCAAGAGGAAAACAAGAAAGACAATGTACCACCAAAAAGATCTCCTTTTCCTAATGATCCTACCACCACTGATCATTCACCTCCTTCTTAGTCACCTCAACACTACCACTCTCAAAAATATGACACTCACACCTGATCTTCCTTCATCAAATGTTTGTTCTTTGAAAGAGTCTGTGATCTTCCATCCTTCTCCTACAGTAAATGAAGCAAGGATTGGAACTGTGTGGAAAGCAATTTATATGCACCAGATTTGAACATCTTATCCCTTTCCAAACTCTTCCTTTCTTTTATATCAAGCTCACATTTTCAAGAATAAAATATCAATTCCGTACAAATTATTTCATTTCATTTTGATAATCATAATCTTTTAGTATTCAATTCAAGGTCAACATTAAGAAGAAATAATGATAACAAAAATCAGTCAGAAAGAACAAGATCAAAAGGAATAGAACAAATGCAACAACAATGAAACAAAAAACAATTTACCATACAGACCAAAATCAACAAGCAAATCGATTGAAGGATATTGTTGATTGAAGGTAACACAATCGAGCCGAAAGGACTTGTTAATTGATCTTCAAGGTTCAAGAAGCAAGCAAAATAAACAAACAGATCAAAGAAAGAAAAGAAAGGTTTTGATTAGTAATATGTAGAAGGAAGGAGAAAGCAAAGGAAAAGACAATAGGAGAAATAATACAAATCATAATTCTAAATTGGATCGATTGACCTAAAATCAACAAACGGGAAGCAAAAATTCATTAGATAGTTTCAAATTGATAAATCAAATCAAAAAGAATGAATTGATAAATCAAACAAATCAAATTAAAAGAAGAAAGAAAATAGAAGATAGAAAATAACTTACAATTTGAGATTTGAAATCAGAACAATAGTAGAAAGCGATGACTCAACTGATCTAAATCAAGACCAACGGAAAAAGAAGTCAAGATCGAAGTTCGAAATTGAATTGGACCAATTGATCTAATTAGGTTTGTGAAAAAATGTGTTCACTTCCATGATTTTGATGATGGTCTTTTTGGATTATGGATGTGAAGATGCGTGTAAAAACAACAAGGTCTGTTCAGTTGATCTTGGCTCGGTGAGGTGTCTTGTTTGGTCGGGTTTGAGCTATAAAAGCTCAGTTGCAGCCAGCATTGAGTCGGTCAGAACTGTTGCTTCCGAGGTAATTGACTGTAGGATTTGACTTAAGATCGAGTTATCTTGCCTTCATACCTCAGGAATCAATATTGTCGGTCAGTTGATGACTTGGTGGTGTTGGTTTGGATGCAGGAATTGAGTCGGTGATTAGGTTGGACATTGGTCGGATGAATTTGGTCGGATGAGATATCGGTTTGGGGTAGCCTTGGTCAAACGTCGGATGGTTAACTCGGTCAGATTAAGTCGGTGGTATGTCGGGACATATAAGTCGGTGAATAAATTGGATACAAGATCCAAGGACTCCTTGGATTTTTGTATCCAAGCCAAATATGTTGGCAGTGCAGAAGTGGTATTGTATGGGTAAAGGAGTGAGAGTCAGAGGCATGGGTGTAGAGAGATTCATGTTGAGTTCAAAAAAAGGATGTACTGCTTGCAATAAAGTGTGTCATATATTCATCATTACAAATTTTTGAGCTATTCAAGGCTTGAGGGCGTCAGACATGGGTATTCTTGATATTTTGAGTGCAAATACAAAGGTGCCAAAGGTGAGCTACAGGAAGGTTGAATGGAGACAAAATGTGCACCACGTACAGAAGAATAAATTACTCAAAGACAGACTTCATAGGCGCAAACCTTCAGCAAGCTTGTGTTTGTTTTATGGCAGAGAGGGAGCACAACACAGGTTTTTTAAGTTTGGAGTATTAATATGAGGGTGATGGAGTCAAGCTAAAGGAATGATGAATACAGATGAAAGATGAACATTCTGGTGGGAAAAAATTGACTCAAATGTGGACTTTATAGACACACAGATTGATTGAGTTTGTGCATGTTTTATGTCAGAGCGGGAGCCAAACATGGTCTTTTGAGGGTTTGAGCGCAAATGTGAAGGTGATTGAGTGGTGAGATGGAAAAGTGGCAGTGTAAGACTGGGTCAGAAATTATATCATCTGGGTGGGGCTTTCAATACCATATTTCCAGCATCCTCAAGGGTTTTGGAATGTTTTTATGTGGAGAATAATGGTTTGACATGGTTTTTTGAGTGTTTGTGCAAGAATATGGAGATGATGGACCAGTTGTATGGAGAAATGGTGTTATGAGACTGAGTCTTAAATGAATTTTTATCATCCGGGGGAGCTATGAACACTACATTTCTTACATCTTCAGGGTGTATGAGATGTTTTTATGCGCAATTTGGTTCATCAAATCAAGATTACATGATATGTGAAAACCTTGTGCACAACACTTTCTGAGATGAATTTGAGCACAATATAATCCCAAACACCATGAAGATGTAAGAAATATAGTGTTTAGAAATGAAATTAGCATTAGGAGATTTGAGAAATGGATTAGATTCAACTCATCCAATTAATCCATTTTGAGTTCTTTCTGACCTCTTCCATCTTCATGTGTCAACCTATATTTTTCCTTTTCTTGTAAACAACAGATGATGATTTTTTGGGGGGTTTGTCTATATTTGAAAGCAATTGGTCTTGCCAAAAAACTCATGAATATTCAAAATGATTCTAAAAAATTGGTTTCAAACTTTATAGGTATTCAAAACTTATCAATGCAGATGATTGATTTTTATCAAATGTTAACCTTGGTTTGTCAAATATTTTTAAAACAGATTTACCTGAAACAAAAAGACCACCACAAGAATTTATTGATTCAGGTTCACTAGAACATGAACCTAATTGAATTCAAGATAATAAATCATGTTTACCAAACTTGGAAGATTTAGAAAAGATTAAAACAATTGGTTTGAAAAAAGGAAAAAGATTACCTAAAAACATTCTAGAATGCATGAGGTATTTTGAAACTTCTATAATTTATGCTGCACAAGTCCTGAAACCTAAATTTGGAAACCCCATCTCCGTGTGAATTGAGTATATTGTCACAATGTGTGCTATACTTAGCATCACCTTTGAATCTGACTTGGATTGTATTGAATATTTGACAGTTGTTACACAGTATGTGGCTTGACACACAATAATTTGATGAGTTGAGCATGGTGCATATCTGCCTATTGCGTTTACTATGATATGTCTTTGTTTTTCTGATGCTGACTTGAGCCTCCAGCCATTTGGCCATAAGTATCAACTTTCTACTTATTGAATTTAGAGGCAGGCTTGCCTGCCTACACCATGGGTCAACTTCTTGACAGGCCTGATATCAATCCGATCTACAAATTTTTTAGATCGGATTGATCTCGAGATGATATTGGTTCGATATCGGAGACCAGATGATTAGCCTCCGCTGACAGCCAGCCGACAGAGCTCTGGCGGCTGTGCAATCCTTCCTCACACCTGCTGGAGCTGGTCATCCAAGCCCCGCCACAACCAGGGCCAATAGCGAACCTTGGCAAGACGACCTGAACAAAACCGCGCGACCGACCTTTTCTCACCAAGGATGACAGTTGAAATACAAAGTCGAACAAAAGGCTCAAAAAAGGAAGTACCTACATTGTTAAGACATCGATACTCCCTTAATCTTCCTGATTAGATACGCGGATAGATTGACTCTATTTTTTCTATTGTCTGATAAATAGATAACCCGAGCCCGCGGGGGCAACATGGACAAGCAATCAAGTGAGGATATATGGAACAAGACAGCAAATGGGGTTAAACAGAGATACACACTTGTGGTGAGATTGATTTTGCTTGATAACTGCATATATTCTTAGGATTAGCAATAACTCACTCCCTCCCATCTCTAGCAATTGATTGGCCATAGATTTGGGCGCACACAAACTCATTCCCTTGTAAGTGGAAAGGTTCGTCCAAAATCCATGTCGATCTGGGTCGATCGCTGGCTATTCTGGCTAGAAACTTCCAACAGTGCCGAAAGAGAAGCGTTAGTCGTTCTTTCTCATGTGCTGCAAGGCTCTTGACTAACCTATATGCTCGCTACTGTAGATATTACCAGTACGTCTTACAAACCGACAGCAGACATTTGACGGAAAGCGTACATTCAAGACTATTCAAGTGCAAGAACCTGATCTGGAAATTTCCAACGAGACCGAGTGGACAGCTCAGAGTATGTCTCTGAACCCCGGCTTATTTTGAAGGTCAGTGGGTTAAATCGCAGAGCTAGCAATTGCGAGGTTTGTCTAGCAATTTTATTGTTCATTTTTCTATCACTTTCATTCCCTATCTTCTGTTCATATGTGTACATAGTAATACCTAAAAGTCAACCAACCAAATCTAAGTAGAAAAAGAAAAAAAGAATATCTGTACCGATTTCACCTGTTTCAATTTCACATTAAGACTTCAAAAGCCATTGATCTTTTTCTTTACCAATAGTTCCATTTCTAAAACAAAACAAAATAATGGTTTATATATACCAAATCTGAATTTATCCTTACATGAAATCAATCGATTGGTTTTAGATATACTTTTACCATAACCCGTTGAAAGCACCTGGTTAGGCGCGCTCAAAGAGACTGGCCAGTGCCACCCAGCCAGGACCCTGGAAAGCCCCGATATACCCTCCTAATGGAAATCCCGAAATTTTCCCCTCCTACCTACACAAATTTCGCCGGTTTTCACAAAAAAAACTCGGATTCCTACCTGTTGACAAAGGACCATTTTTTTTTTCGGAGAAAGGTCCCAATATTCCTTCCATCTGCATAAGGACCCTCAAAATCTGTGTTTTTGGGCGTTTCAGAGCAATTAGACATCTTGATTTTTTTTCCGGAAAAACTTGTATATTTTTTTGGGAATTTGGTAGAAGAATCACAAGAGTTGAAGTTGTTGAGAGAGAAATAGACTAGTGAGTAGTATAGCTATGTAGTGTTATGTAGTTGAGTTTTAAAAAAAACGAGTAATTCAATTCCTGGCCAGCCACTGGAGGGACTGTGTTTCCAGTTCCTGGCCAGCCACTGCAGTTGGTCCACTGCTGTAACAGGTAAAAACATCAAAGTGAATCTCTACACATGAGGGAGATCAGGGTCTGAGAATTCAATATCAAGAAGTAGAAAAAGAGCAGTCAAACGTTTCAGAAAAGGGACTAAAGAGACTGGTATTTTTTTGAATTTGGGAGAGATGAAGCGAAACAACTTGAAGAAATAACACAAAATCAAATCTCTAGATAAGGTGGA